CTTGACCTTCCAGGTCAGGAAGTCTGCCTGGATGCTGCCATTAAGACTCTTCACCACATTACAGTCGCCTTCTCCCCTGGTCATGATTCGTCTGCCACTCAGCATCCACAGCCACTTGTCCACATTTTTACACACCTGTATGAAAAAAGCAGGTTGAATTCTTAGTAATTACTGAAAGCACTGAAGTGATTCAGGCTTAATAAACTGCTGAGCTACAGCCTTGAAGCTTTAGACATCCTCTGAATAGCTGACTATTATCAACCAGTGTCATTCTTCTCATTTTGTGAAAACCTTTCATACCGTGTTGTAATGGCCAACATAGACAGAGTTTCCAAGGCCAAACACTGCATATCTGAGTCCTTTCAAGTAGGTCTTCCCATATCTGAAGTCAGTGGATGCCTCTTCGAGCCACTTGCAGAACCACTCAGCATTTTCTGTGGGCTGTCCATCAGTGTAAGTTGCCACAAGAAACACGCACACCGACTTACTGATGCACTAATGGGAGAGGTAAACACAGCATGTAGGAAAGAGTTAAACAGGAGGAAAAAAGCTTAGTGTTTCTTCATTCAAGACTTTTTTTGTCCAAATATGGAAACACTTATCTGTGGGACTAACTAGGGACGAAATGCAGTGAGAGGTTGAGACACTAACACTGGACACTAACTGGATGTACTGCTGACACATAATTACGTACCAGCTAGTCCTAATTAATTAAGCAATTACTAACACCCTACTCTCGCCTGTGGCTACAAACTAAGCAGCAGCAGATGCAATAAAGAAGCCACTTGAAGTGGTATAGGCATTCCTAGGTGTTTTCAGCATGTCCAAATGGAAGCAAACCCCAGGGCAGAACACCGTGAAGATGTTATTTTTCCCGACTGGCTTGGGAATCTATGTATCTGCATCTGGTGGAAGGGAAGTGCCAGAGAGAGAAGGAAGTCTGAGCAAGTCTGGTTAGACTGCTGCTGGAGAAGCAGTGGAAAATGGATGGTGGATGTTTTTTGTTACTGAACCAACAGTAGCTCAAATCCACAAATAATGCAGTCATCTATTTTCTTCTGTTTACGTAACTCAGGGTCACAGTTGGGGAGGAATCTATAAACAAGAGGCAGAGTACACCCTGGACAGGTAGATGGAAGCTGGAGTATCCAAAAAGGTTCATGGTACTCCGGCTTCCTCCCATCTCTCCATATGTTTGAAATGTTTGAAATAAAATGAACTGAACTGAAACAGGGTCAAATGTGCCAAACAAAAAGGTTCCTTCCTCTGATGCCTGACCAGTAAATCAGTCGCACTGAAGGAGAGATGTCTGCAGACACATTTCACGTAGAGCTTTTCTGTCACTGAAAACTGTATCACTGTCCCTTTGAATAAATAGTTATTTTCCTTTTTCTGCTGTCAACCAGCCAACCAATCTCCTATTCATCTCGAAATGCAGCACAGAGGGACTGTGCTCACAAAAATAAAAAGACTGATGAAAACAATCCATCTTGCTGCAGATGAGCAGGAACATGTTTGCTCTCTGCACCGGCCGTTTGAAGGCTCAAGCAGAAATGAAGCTTAAGCTGAGCTGGCAGTAATAGAACTTGAGGCTTATCACGCCAGTGTTTGCTGTCAAGCTTTGAAAATAAGAGTAACGATTTTTATTTTCCTTTGATTAATTCTGTTCTAATCAGGTGTTCCCTGGAAGTACACACAGGCAGGTCTTATGAGCTCACAGTTACATTTTAGAGATTTAATTAGCACCCAACAGCTGCTTCTGAGCATCCTGTAAACAGCATTTAATTGCTTACAGAGTACCCATCTGACAGCTGCATTAATCTTTCATTTATTCTCTATGATGCCACAGGTAGGGGTGATAAAGAAAAGTTTGCCAGGTCTCCTTAGAGGATCTGTGGAACCAGCTCCCAGTTTGGATTTGGGGTGTAGACACCATCTTACTTTGCAGATTAGTCTTAAACTTTCCTTTTAGATAAACTATTAGACAAGTATTACTAAATAGTAGAATTAAATATTTGGGTTGGCCCATATGCCCTTGAACCACCCTCAGTTATGCTGCTAGTGGCTCTGGACCTCTTGTGTTTTGTTGTGCAACTAGCCTCTGGTCACTTTCCCTCCATATGCACTTACATATCAACACCTTCTCCCTCCAGCGGTGTCTATGGTTTCCAAGATGCACGGTCCCTGTCCGGCTTCACTGGTCCATCAACCAGCCAACTATGTCACTTGTGTGTTGTTTGTCATCTCTGTGCTAACCTTCTCTGTCTATACTTCCCCCATACTCCCCAACAGGACTTGGCAGACACCTAGCATTCCCCTGAGAAGTGTTTGCTCACAGGGTGAAACAGTACAGGGTCTCTACCTTACAGTATAAAGCAGTCTAATATGAAACTGAAAAGCATATTCTGCTTTGGTTGGCTTACCTCATCAGCAAGCTGATCATCTGGATCGTAGTCCTTCATGTCAATCACCTCGGCTGGTAAACCCAAAGACTTCACCTCCTCTGACAGCTCGTTCGCAAAGCCCTAAACATATGGAGAGTCTCAGATGGTGCTTTTAAGATGTCAGTAAAGACTAAATTACCACATGCTGAGTACTTTTCAAAATACTATCGATTTAAATTTGAGTTGCGTTTAATGTGCTTGATTACATGTGTGTAAAATTTAGTGCTCAGAGTTTTTGACTCAGGAACTGGTTGATGAAATTTAGCTTAGCATTGCTGTATGCAACAGAAAGCTTTACTACCACTGTGCTTTGTGAGATGAGGAGTGCTACTGATGCATTAAAATGCAGTAGCTTTACCACGCTAGAGCAAAAATATGCACAAGGGTAATGAATTGTTATTGCAGACTGTGAAAGTTACACATGAGCCTTGATACAGAAACTGTTAATCAGTGTAGTGATTCAGGTTGTCAATGATCTGTAGAGTAATTATAATTACTAGTATTACTATTTTGTTTTATTTTTAAAAGGGTAAAGGGGTTTGCGTGTCAGTGGCCCCCTGTGACAGGAGAGACAGGCTGGAAAACCAACAGGAGGTTTCTGATTAGTCGCTTTCTCTGTGTCTCATATTTTCTCTGCTCTCATCTGGTCACTTTAGATTTGCAGGAAATAACTTTTGTACCTTTGCAGTCCCGGTTTGTGAGCCATAGAAGATTTTGACTCCTGACACATGAACCTCCTTGGTCTCTCTGTCGTTCTTCTTTGCAGCTTTGTCAACTTTGTCGTTCTTCTCTTTGCTGGCATCTTTAGAAACGCTTTTCTGAAAGCAGATCAGTGCAGCGATAAATGGAGCTGTTTCCGGTCAAGACAGCGAGACCTTAAGAAGCACTGCAGAGACCGTTTAGAGACTAAAACACATACACAAATTAGAGTAAGGTATGAGTAAGTGCCTCACCTTCTTCAGTAAGAACCAGAGCCCAAAAACAAGCGCAGCAGCTGAGTACAGGTACAACCTGCTGTGCCATAACCACATGAAATAGCTCTCAGTGGGACTGCGGGCATCCTGAGAAACTGGAGGGAGAAAACACATCAAACTGAGTCCTCAGATCCTGAACTGCTTTGATGAAGAAAACAGCCACGTCATATTTGTTTCTGCCAAACCACAGCTGACCACATGCAACAACAAAACAGAATTAAATCCCAACCTGAAGCTACCTGCGAAAAATAAAAGTCGGGGGACTGGCGAGCAACGCATGCTAGCTAGTAATGCTACCCTCCTTTAGCCAAAACACAGCTTGAAGAGAGTTTTCAGTTGCTTTAAATATTTAAAATAAACTCACCTTTTGAATCCGAGGCAGAGACTCTGGAGGCCAAAAGCAATACAAATACGATAAAAGTTGGCATTGCTGCAAGTAACTACTTGCACACAGTCTTCAGCACCTGAAGCTCTGCGCAACCATATTCTTTGCCGATATGAATGCTGGGAAGTTGAGTTCGGATCGTCCAACGGCTTGAGTTTGTTTGCTTATGGACATTCAGACTTTTTAAAAAGCAGCTGAAGTTAAATTAAACGATGAAATTCATCTTCTTGGATTTAATTTTGAATATTTTACTCATTCATACCTATATGCTTTATTTTGAAAGTCTATAGAGGAAGTGGTTCTATTACACTATGTCTATTTTGATTTTCTTGTTGTTTCCAGAAGGATTTTTAATTTGTCCTTTTTATTTTAATTCCTTTTAACATTTTGTAAACTGACGCCAGATGAGGAGACCCGGACATTAAAAATAAAATGAATGCAATGTCAATTGATATTGAACAAATAACTGCACTTATGCATTCTGGTAAGCTAGCTCGGTTACAAATACCTCTAGTCGTTTTTGTAGATCGCCCTCTTGTGGTCATATGGAGGAACTGCAATAGACCGATTAAAATATGCTAACGTTCAAATTAATTACAACACTGAGGCTTGAGAAAAGCTGTGAGCTATTTTCTGGTAGTTGTGTTAACTTCCGTGATAATGTGACAACTATTATTAGGCGAAATCACTAACGTGCAGAGAAAAGTATGATAATGTAGGAAGAAAGAACTGCAGGTGGCTTTAAATTGAAACGGAATATTTTCTGCCCTCCAGTGGTCACAGCGGCGAACTGCACATAGAAATTCGTCAAACTTGCATTAATGTAGGCATGACAGCGGCATTAAGCACGTCCGATTATTCATTTCAAAATAAGACTTACACGTAGTTCAAAACGTTTTTAATACTTAACGCTGTCAATAACAATAAATAAGAATAGATTGTGCTGTCAGACAATTAAATATGATGTTATCTCATAACTCTGCAGCCATTAATCTAACAGTGCCCAATTTATGTGGCGTTTTATTTCGAAAATAATAACAGTTTGAAAAGTTAAATTTCATAAATATGTATTTAATTATGCATATATGTATTTATTTAATTTATTAAACGAATAACAACAAAGAAAACAAAACTGACTCGGAACTGATGTTCGAAGTCACAGTTTCATACCGAACAGCCATTTAGGATACACTCGAAGAATACGGGTGGTGTTGTGATAGCGTACGTTTCTTGTCAGCGGCGCTTGCTTCGCAACTGTTTGTGGTAATCGCAAATATGTCGATATTTACGCCAACGAATCAAATCCGGCTGACCAACGTAGCGGTGGTGAGGATGAAGAAAGGCGGGAAGCGATTTGAAATCGCCTGTTACAAGAACAAAGTTATGAGCTGGAGATCAGGAGCGTGAGTACCAGGAGATGTTAACGCCTCCTGTGCCTGATTGCTGTTTTACTTCGTTGTTGCTAGAGGAAACTTTGACAATTCATTTCTCTTCCACTTTAAATCCTCTCGATGGTCGTTACATGCTAAATCAGCCAAAAATGCTCCAAAACGTCATGTTTTCATTACAGAGAGAAGGACCTGGACGAGGTTTTGCAGACGCACTCTGTTTTCGTCAATGTTTCCAAAGGCCAGGTGGCGAAGAAGGATGACTTAACCAAAGCTTTTGGGACTGACGACCTTACAGAAATCTGTAAACAGGTATAAAACATCCCCATACGTACACATTGTAAGCATAAGCCATGCCATTTACTGCATGTAGGCTTGGTTGTTTTGTTTTTTCTCCTGAAGATCTTGGCCAAAGGAGAGCTCCAGGTGTCAGACAAAGAGAGGCAGACTCAGCTGGAGACCATGTTCCGGGATATAGCTACTATTGTGGCAGAGAAGTGCGTCAACCCTGAAACCAAGAGGCCGTACACAGTCAGTCTGATTGAGCGGGCCATGAAGGACATCCACTACTCTGTCAAGCCCAACAAGAGCACAAAGCAGCAGGTGAGGAGGATACCATGTGTTTCCCTTTCTTGTGTTGTGTTAGTAAATGGGCTGGTTCTTATTTAGCATCTTTCTACTTTACCTGAGCACTCAAAGCCCTTTAAGCAGATATCTGGGGAGCTCAGAGTAGAGGTGCTGCTCGTTCATGTCAAAAGAGCCAGTTTAGATGGTTTGGTCATCTCAGGCCTGCTGGGCACCTCTATTTGGAGGTTTTCTGGGTATGTATGTATGTATGGAGACCCTGTGGGGGGATGCAGAACCTGCTGCAGAGCTTAAATTTCTTATCTGGCCTGAGAGCACCTCAGGATCTCCCAGGAGGAACTGGAGGCTTAACATGGAGCCAACAGCAACTTCAGATGGAAAATAGTGCACGAATGGGTGTATTTTCCTTTAAAGTCATTAAAAATCATGTTAAATATATTTAAAAAAAATTCTAATTCATCCATCCATTTTCTTTAAAACTGGTTTTATATATACGGGTCTTGAGAGAGGTGGCTGGCGTCTACTCCATAGCACTAGGGCATTAGGGCATCCTGGCTAACACAGACAGACAACCTCAGGCTCTCATATTCACCTACTGCCAATTTTGAATCACCAGTTCCTCTGATAGTCCAAAGACTACGAGATGAATCTAGAGCACTTGGAGAAAACCCACACAGACACAGGAAGAACAAAGCAGACCCCACTAGAAAGTTCAAGCCAGGAAGCTTCATATTTTTTCAGTAGTTTGAGTTTTGTGTCTAAAACAAATAAATAGACGAGAGTGAATTCAAAGTCTTTTGCCAGTGACAAGTAAACAAAGAGCAACTAAATGTTTGAAGCTCGGTGATCACACATACTCTGCCCCTCTGACTTCAGTTTGTTGGTGTGGAAGTTGTTGCAGTTATAATCTGTGTATTTCAGGCCTTCTCTGCAGTGAATGATGATGCTTTTTTACATCATTGATAAACAGATGTGTGCTGTTGTTTTCAGGCCCTGGAGGTGATTCGGCAGCTGAAGGAGAGCATGGAGATCCAGAGAGCCCACATGAGGCTGCGGTTGGTGCTGCCAGCCAAAGAGGCCAAGAGGCTGAAGGAGAAGCTGAAACCGCTCCTGCAGGTCGTGGAGAGTGAGGATTTTGATGAGGAGCTGGAAATGGTGAGCGGCGTTTAATGGTATTTGTGGTTGTGACTGAATAATCTCTACTTTCATTCAATAATATGAACAATTCCATGAAGCTCTGCAGATCAGCTTTGTGTTTTTTAAACTGAAATTTTGTCTCTTACCATATTATAATGTAAAGCCAATATTATTATCCCTTTATTACTCTTTATTTTTCCCGGGTGTGCGTCTGTCAGGTGTGTCTGGTGGATCCCGGCTGCTTCAGGGAGATCGATGAGCTGATCCGCTGTGAGACTAAAGGCCGAGGCTCTCTGGAGGTTCTCAGTCTCAAGGATGTGGAGGAGGGAGATGAGAAACTATAGTAACCCTGCCTGTCAGAACTCTGCACCTTATCCACACTAACACGCTTCATTAGGGCACACAGATTGCAAACTCATGAAAAAAAATCTATGTTTATGGTCTGATTTATCACAATTTCAGCCACTTTCACCCTGTAAGGATTAATTTGACTGAAAGAAGTTATAATTTGCTGAGTGGAATATATTTTGAAAGCAGGTTTGAGAATTTATGCCTGAACTTTAAAGTCGGTGCTTATTTCTGATGTTTTTTCTTTTATTTATTCACTTTTTTTTAAGTCGATTACTAATTTAGCAGAACGTCTACACAAAGTCGTGTGCCATGTAGTCGCGCTCAGTATCCCATCCTATTATCTGTGGATCATTTCTTTATCCTGGTAAATTCTATTTTATTATAATAAGTTTGGTCTGTAATAAACACTATACAAAATATTATCTCTTGGGGGATTTTTCTCATATACGCTGCTTTGCAGAGGCGGCGCAGTGGTGCAGTGGTTCACACTGTCTGCTCACAGCAACAGGGTTCCTGTTGCCTTTTACCTAATGACAGCTGGGAGGGGCTCCAGGCCCCCAAGACCCAGAATTGGTAAAGCAATTAAGAGGATGGATAGTAAACCAGCACAGGGTAATGACAAATTCACCTCTGTTTTATTCTTTAAGAAAAAAAATAATGTACAGAATTCCATGGAATATCCTGTTTATCTTAAAGGTGTTCAGAAAGGTGACAATACAGCATTTGTAAATATCATTAGTAGAAGAAACTATAAAGTAAAAGTGAGATGCAGCCCAAAGAGTGATGCAACTGTTGTTTTTTTAAATTAGAAGTCAAACAAAAGAAATACAGCTGAGAAATCAGATCCTCGTTCACACATGAATATCAGAGACTGTCAAATTCAGAATGAGGATATTTTCCACAGTTTTCCTTTCTCACATGCAGCACACACAGGAAACGGTTCACTTCTGCTTGTTGGATTATAATCTATGCTTTTGGCACATCGGCTTAATCCGATATAACGCAGACTTTTTTCTGTCCAGCAGCGTCACACGTTTGAGCTCTCGTATGCACTCCTGCTGGGTGATGCTGGGTGATGTTGGGTGAGGTTGTAGCACCTGATGTGGTGCTGGTAAACTTTAATCCGTGCAATGATATCCAGATGCTGGCGTTCTTCTAGAAGACTGTAATTCATGCTTGTTTCTCACTGCTTATTGTGTGAGTAGGATGAGTACGTTTATGGTCTTATTCGCCACTGGGCCACAAATATTCATCTATTCAGAGACTCTGGCTTTATTTCCATCAAACATTTTCAAAAGACTGAAAAACTGATGGTTATATGATTTTTAAATTGCCCCTCACACCTCTTCATCTGCTCAGTGGCATAACTAGTTAAAAGAAAAAAAGTCAAACAACTTTATTAAAACATGTTTCTGAATAATTTGCAGTGCTTTTCTGTGTCCAACAGTTCAGTCCATGTAAAGTTGTATTGCTTTATTTACACAGTAAAATGTATTTGTGCGATACGTTTTGGGATCGTTATTATCGGTCAGAATTGGTAATTTCATCAAGTAATGCAACAGACACCCAAAAGTATCACTTGAAAGTAATTTAAACTGTATAACAGTACTGCATTATGAACAGTTTGCTATCTTCACTGGAGGTGAAAACACTGCAAAGCAACATGCAAAGTTAAAGTCCTGCCCACATCCCTATCAGTGAAACTAGCCCCATGATAAATGACTTTCCAGTGCTGTGTTCATTACTTTTAAGCCAGTGCATCATTACCTAACCTGCAGCCACAAGTTTTCTTCAGCTCTTTGCTGATTTTCCAGTTTAATCCCTCACGCTCGGTTAAATATTGCATCACAGTCCTCTCATATAGGCTCTGATCTGCGTTCGTACTGGCTGTGTGTGAACGTAGTCCTGTTGATCCTGCTCAGTGGGTGACTGGCCTCCTCCTCTAGATTTGGGTACCTGCTGTCTGAAGTCTGCTCCTCCTGCCTCTGAGCAGTTGGGCATCTGGTGGTAAGAAACACCCCACCGGCAAGCATCAAGCCAAAAGAGATCCATCCAAGGTAGAGAGCAGGTCCCCAGTCCCTTTGTAGACCCACAGCGCCCTCCAGTGGCTGACTGGTGTGGTGGCACGTCCAAGCTATGGGAACCAACAGTATGATCCCTGACAAAACAAAGAGACTACCAGAAAACACTTTGATCTGGCCTCGCTGAGGGAACCACGCCATCCCCACTGTTCCGATCACTGAAGCAAAAGCCCCAGCGCCAATGGCTGCCAAAATCAGGGCTCTCCACGTCCGAAAACTTCCAGAAAGAGACATGAGAGACCGGTAAAAGGAGCAATGCAGGCTGCCATCGTGGGCCAAATCCCAGTGATCCCATTCCAACCACACCCCGTCCCAGTAGGCAGGCAGAGTAGCTGTGGTGTTGTCCACGGTGCCGCTTACTTTCCACAAGGCTAGGCAGCGTGTCAGAATGGCACATAGCCACCCGATGGCGCCGAGGCCGAGGGCAGCGAGCTCTAGCTTCTGCTCCAGCTTCTGCTTCATGCCGGGTCCTCCTCTTCACTGCAGACCTGCCTGTGTAACCAGAAGCAGCTGGCTGCAGAGCACAGTGGGGTGGGGTGTTATTTTAACGTGCATGTGCATGTGTGAGGCAGAGATCATTTGCTTGTGCGCCTGTTTGTTTTGCATGCCGTGTTCAGAGAGAGGAAACCAGTTCTTTGGTATTCTTGAAAAGAAGGCACCGCGTGTCTACGGCTGGGTGGAGGAGGGAAATCCCTGTTTGCCCTACCATGGTTTCAAAACAATCGCTTTCTCACAGTTTCTCAGCAGAGGGGGAAAACAAAGCTTCTTCTGTGCGCTCATGTTTAGCCACTGGCCTGTGTTTCTGGGAAGTAACTTGATCTAAAGAGCCACAAATTCTTGCTGATTCTGAGATTTCTCCCAACAGGTTACTAAATCTCTGTGGCAGTAAGAAAAGTGACAGCAAAATATTGATTCAAATGACGCACGGTTACTCTGCAGTCTTTATTCTGAATACTAAGAAACAAGTCACAATCACAAAAGCTTTCAGCGTAGAAAACATTCTCTGTTTAAGTTCACAAAAACTTCAGACTAAACTACACGAACGCATGCACGTTAAGCTGAAAACACAATTACTTTTACAATTACTTCCAAATACTTTGAACATGTCATGGTTGTTGGTGATGGTGTAAATATTTCAGAAACTTTTAATCTACTGGGATTTTCACACACAGTCATCTTCAGGGTTTACAGAGAGTGATCTGTAAAAGAGAAGATATCCAGTGAGCATTAGTGTGTTGCTCTGTCTTGCGATGTCAGAGGTCAGAGGCAAAGACTCCTTCGAGCTGATAGGAAGGCAACAGTAACTCAAATAACAACTTGTTACAGCCAAGGAATGCAGAAGAGCATCTGGGAAAATATAAAACATGTTGAACTTGAAGCAGATTGGCTACAGCAGAGGACCTGTCCTGGAGAGCGTCATTCCCATCAGCTAAGAACAGGAAAATGAGGTTACAAGTTGCAAAGGCTCACCAGAGTTAAGCTTTTCTGAGGCGTATCATTTGGACCAGCTTTGACAGGGTCAGAGAGTAGTATGAACATGAAAACATGGATCCATCCTGCCTGATACTGAATATGCTTCAGTATTCGAGTGGTAGTGTAGTGGCACTTGGCCCCTTCACAACAGCTGATCATTAATTAAATGCCTCAGCCTGTCTCAGTACTATTGCTGTCAATCTCTGTCTCTGTATGACCACAATATACCCATCTTCTGATAGCTTTCAGCAGAATAACATCCCCTGTCATAAAGCTTCAAGAAACAAGTTCATTTTTTGATTATTATGGGTACAATAAGTTCACTGTACTCCAGAGTCACCAGATCTCAATCCAATAGAGCACCTTTGGGAAACAGTGGAACGGGGGCTGCTGTCGATGATGTGCAGCTGACAAATCTGCAGCAGCTGTGTAATGATGTTTTATCAACACATTCAAAATCTCTGAGGGATGTTTCCAGCACCTTGTTGGATCTATGCCATGAATAATTAAGGCAATTCTGAAGGCCAAGGTGGGAGGGGTGCTGTTACTAGCAGGCCATGGTGAGTGCATTATAAACATTTCTGTTCTGATGGGATGAGTCTTTTATAGGATGACAATGATGCTCCCATCCATAGCTCAAGAGATGTTTTTGAGTGATTTGATGGGTGTGAAATATGTGTTCATTCTGTGCAATTATGGTCACAATCACTAACTGAATGTGGGGACTGATAGCACTCTCACAATCAGCAGTACTCCAGAACTGGATACAACTACAAATATGTGTGTTTGTCTCACTGAATGGCAACTTTCAAGAGTTTTTCTCTTGATTGTTTTTTTTGTGTGTGTCTCTAATAAAGTTAAATTTACAACCTATAGACATCAGACTGCTACACAAAACAGACGCATAAGAAATAGGAATGTTCACTATTTTGTAGCCACACAGTACAACGCATGCAGACTGGACAAGCCTGGGACTGAACCACTGACTTTCTGAGCAGTCACTGACCAACTCTGACACCTAAGCCAGATTCAACAGACACCTTCTTTGAGGTAGAGGTGAGAGTTGGGTAAGGAGTGAGGTGTGAAGCAAATGCACTACCTCTACTGGTGCAACCCTGTGCCACTTCAAAATATCTAGAAAAAAAGAAAAGATTTATGTGGTTCAAACAAACTACTGAGTAAATTTTTCATACTTTTAAAGTTGATTTCCATATGATCAAACATGTATGATTTGACACTAAGACATAAATTATCTAATTATTTTACTTTACTGCCAGAATAGATGGTTATCTTAACAATTGCTTCCATATTTGAATTATTAAATGGCTAATAGGTTTTATCCAAAGAGTTCAAGACTGCAAGTTCAAGGTATTTATTCTAAAGTGATAACATGTTGGTAGTGTATTTTATTCACTCAGACGCACCCTGACATGTGTGTTCAGTCTTCAATCTTATCTTCACACATAGTTCTTGATGGCGTAACTGCTACGTGTGGGTGTCTTGGCCAGTGTGTACCCACTAGAGGGGAACCTGTCTCTATGGGGTGGAGAGCTTGTGCACAAAATGGCTCCCCCACAGAACAACAGCCCAGATGTCACAAAACCTATGTATATGGCTGCTCCAAGCTCTCTCTTCATCACCTCAGGGACTCGAGGGTTGTGGAAATCCCTGATGATGGAGTTGGCTGTCCAAGAAACAGGAACTATAGAGGTGAGAGCTGCCAGGCAGAAGATGGCCCCAGAGCTCATCACCACCCTAGCTTTGATTTGTGGGTGGCCCAGGCAGTTGGTGCAGCGCGCCCCCAGAAGAAAGATAAGGAACGCCAGACATCCCAAAACCAGGCTGATGCAAATAAGGCCACGGGCTGCTTGGAGGTCTGGAGACAGGTCCAGAAGAGCATCGTAGAGCTTACACTGCATCTGACCTGTGTATTCACTGACACAGGTCATCCACAAACCCTCCCAGAACACCTGCATAACCACCAGATGAGTGCCAATGAATGCTGTCACCTTCCACATGGGCAGAGCACAGATCAGAATGGTCCCAGCGACACCGGTCATTGACAGGCTGATGCCAAGCTCCTGCAGACCCATGGAGAACTGCAGGAAACACAGAAGGTTGACAAGAATGAGAAGCTTCGTTTTTATTTGGAATAGATGTTTGCAACATTCTGTCATGTAACATGTACTCATGTAGATGAGGATCATCATACAGATACAGCTTTTAAATTTAAATTATAACTACTTGGAAACTGAAGAAATATGAAGCATTGTATGAAGTTTAAATTTCAAGTTATTTTCTCAAACATTTGAGTTAATAAGTCAAGATTCTGAGAGAGCTGACTTGGAATTTTGAGAGAATTTTTAAAATTAAGGCAAAAAAGCTCTTTTGTATAACAAAAAAATACATAATTTTTTAAGTTATTCATTTTCTACTGGCAAAAACAAGCTTCCACGGTTTCCTGTGTCTTTTATCCGAAAATCATTTTGGGGTTTTCTGGCCTTCTGGCTCACAGTCCACTAGATGGCAGTATTTCACTAAAGACGAACAAACATCTGTTAAGATGATTGCAGTCGACAGACTGTTTCTTGGACTATGATCTATCATCTTATAAATAGCTGTTTCACAATGAACAGGTTCAGAATTCGAGTTGTCACTGCTGAGTTAGTAATAACCTTATTTAAAAAACAAAATGCGCTACGTCTGCTCTCTTTCTTTCCCCTTGCCCCAAACCAGTCACACCCGATTGATGCCCCACCCTGAGCCTGGTTCTGCTGTTCTCCCTTCCTGTTTCAAGGGAGTTTCTCCTTCACCTAGGGGGTTACAGTGTTTTTGCCCTACAATATACAAACTGCTGTTGTGAGTTTGCGCTATATAAGTAAAATTGAGTTAGTATAAAATTTAATTCGATCGGAATCTTTATGGGATGTTGGAGAAGCTGGTATCACCTTTTTGATTTTTTTTTTTTAATCTGTGGTGCACATATTTACAACTGAATTTTCTTTAATGTTAAACAATGAGCTGTTAGCGCCCCACACTGCATTGGGTCTGTTAGTAAACTGATAATAAAGTCTATTGATACTAATAGCTATCTTTATTCCTCCGCTGTATCCATATAACCGGAAAGTGCCATTCGGGGGGTGGGCTGTGACTATAAACAGCAGAGAAAGATAGGAACAGCAGTGAGAGGTGTTGTTTTGACCATCATTTGCTATTCACACACTTCCTGAACATCTAGTGATTCGACCCCGCCCACTGTCAGATCAGCAGCCTGATAACATGAGAAAACACTCCTTTTAGACAGGTGCGGCTGAGCACAAACAACATAAGCATTTTAAAGGAAAATCAGTTAAAAGTTATTTTTTTATTCTGAAATACACACAGTGGCACCAGTTTCAACACACGGAAACAGGTTTACACCCTTTCAGATAATACCTTTGAATTTTTGCGGTGCTGAGCAAACGCAGCATGACACAGTGTGATGAATGAAACCACTGAGGGTAAGTCATGGGTTACTAAACTCATCAGCCAACAGCGTTGTTGGTCCCTGAGTCACCATTTTTTGTTACTTGAGTAGTCGTTACTGGTAAGTACCGGACAAACAGGTTCTCTCCGTGTTTTTTTCACATCACTCCCAGGCCCCTTTTTCAAAAGTATGTAAACAAATATCATCAGAGGAAACAAACACAGAAGCAGAATTATTGTGTTATTATTATTATTATTATTATTATTAATAATAATAATAATAAAAGTAAGAACTATATATATAATATATTTGATATATATATATCAGTCAGGTGATTGATATATATATATGTATATATATAATAAAATACATTATACAATAAACTGTCCATGTAAACATGTTTAATGTTTAGGAAACATGTTTAGGAAGCCTCTAGGAAGCTAAAACTGATTCCCTCTTGAGAACAAATGCAATGAACAGATTTCCTTCATTGCATGTTGTCTGTGTGCATGTGCTTTTTCTTTATGTTTCACAACAGCCTTTGTTTATTCAATATTCCCATCAGAATGTTCAAATGTATGTCTTTGGTGTCAGAGATCTGAATGACTCCTTTGTGTTGTTTCCTACAGACTTGTTTAAGAAGTACTTCACAGATGGAGCATTATCTTTCTTAGGAGGGCAGTTGACACAACAGAGCCCCCCTCCTGAGATCAGTAGTCCCCCAGCCAATGTAAAGGGAAGCACCAAGCTCTCTTTTCTAGGCGTCTACTACCATGGGTTTGTAAAAGTCCCTTATGGTGATGCTGGCAGTCCAGGAAACATCAATAGTGCAGAGTAGACCAATGATGATCAGCAGCACAACACCTGTCACTGAGGCCCTATCTTTGGCTCTCTCCTCTGGAATGAAGTTTGTACATTTCCCTCCAGCAGAAGCTGCGAGGAGCCCTGCAATACCTATGATGATGGAAACTACCACCAGAGCACAGGAACTTTGGAGGTCTGGGCTTAAAGCCAGCATGGAGTCGTAGACATACATGTATGCATGCAGCTCATCCAGATGCCCTCCCACATGACCTGCAAAGTTACAATGTTGCTGTCCATGAACACTGTGACCCTCCACATGGGACTGGTGCAGACAAAGAGCACCAAATAAACCAATCCAACCAAAAAAGATCAAGGGCACAGCCTGCCATCTCCAACCCCAGAGAAGCCATTGTCTTCTCGCTCTGAATGTCACTAAAGTGTGTATGAAATCTAATAAAAAGAGGTATAAAAGCGAAGCTATTGTGGGCTCAGAAGCCCTGACAGAGAAGATTGGCTATGCTGGATTCTTTGTGTTTAGGAATATTAAACATTCAGGCTTCTATCATTTTTCAGAAGGACAAGGACTTTGGTAACTGAATGCTTTCCTAATGTTCTGAACATCAAAAACCAAAACAAAATACATTTTTTCAACAAAAACAAAGGATAAAGGTGCAATATGTAAACTCCAAATCTGTAAACTCTGTAAACAGATTTTCAGCCGCAATAGAGCAGGTGGTATTGATTTCGCTTTGTGAGTCAGTGTGTGTCGAAGTGTATGTGCTGTCATGGCGAAATGTGGTCATAGTGAGAACTACCGTAAAAGGAACAAAACACAGACATCCAAGTACTGAGTAAAAGCTTCCGGAAACAGGGAGGGGCTCATTGTTTCTGCTTTGCTCTCATGTTCTCAGGCGTGTTTTCATTTTCAGTATATATTATTTGTAACCCCCATATGAAAAATTGTCTTTATCTGTTTTATACATATATATATTTGTCTTCTCCATTATGTCTGGGGTCTGAGAAAACTTCAGCTTTGTTGTGAAGTGATCCTGTATCTAGCTTGATTCACAATGTCACTGATGAAGGTTTGGATAAATTACTTTTAAATAAATCAATATTGGATGTTAATTAGACAGAACTCTATTTTGTTGTTTAAAATGTGTCCTAATGATCCAAAACCTTAGATGAACGGTGCCAAAGCTTATCTGTTCTCACACACGTTTCTCTAGGAAATGAGACACTGCATCGGTATTTCAGTTTGTTTGACATTTTGAAATGTTGATAAGATTTTGTTTTTCTTATTTTTTGTCTTTTTGTCAAAATGTCACATGTGTTAATTCAATTCTCCTGTCACTGTGCCCTTGATTAAGGCAATTGCTCACATCTGGACTCAATATACTGGCTGTTTGCTCTTCTAAATATTTAGGATGGGTTGAATAAATAGAATAAAATTCCCTGAGAGGATCAGTGAAGTATATCTTAATCCCTCAATCTGAATACTAGTAGTGAGAAATCTATTCAACATAATGCCAAATTGATTTTGTTTTCATAAATATTTCCTTATATTTACATTTGTTCAAATGTCAACTATCTATTTCAAGACTACTATAAGTGTTTTAATGTATAATGGAAGTAGAAACAACACGTTAGAGCACAGGTGTCAAACTCCAGGCCTCGAGGGACGGTGTCCTGCAGGTTTTAGATGTGCTGATCCAACACAGCTGATTTAAATGGCTAAATGACCTCCTCAACATGTCTTGAAGTTCTCCAGAGGCCTGGTAATGAACTAATCACTTGATTCAGGTTTGGTGACCCAGGGTGACATCTAAAACCTGCAGGACGCCGGCCCTCGAGGCCTGGAGTTCGACACCCCTGCGTTAGAGTTTCTGTTAATTGAGTAACCAAAACCTAGTTGTTATTTTTCGTTCGTTCAGAGAAGAAGGCTGTGATGTCAGTGACATGTGACAGAGCTCAGAGTAATCAACCCAGCTGGTTTCAGCAGATTCACTGTCTAACCACAAAGAGAAACTCTGGAATGTGATACTAGATAACAATGGACAGACATAACAGGTTGTGTGACTGTAGCGAACACACCCTGAACACCAGGGTTAAAAATGGAATTCAGCAGCTGGGGAACCTTTAAATTGGTTGTAGTTATTCAGTGTGGGTAAAAGATTCACAACACCATCGCTACTGTTGTGCGTTCTAGTATACTTTCTTTGTGCACAGGCTTGATCAGCTGACCTGTGCTGCTGCTTTTGCTGAACTGAGGTTTACTGCTCTTTGTGGATGAAGTGAATTCAACAAGCTACCTTGGGTGATTTCCATCCCCTACACTGACAGCATACTGTTGATACTGTACTTATACACGGCAGTATACAGTTGGTGTGACGTAATCTAAGCATCACAAGCCCATTAAATGGGACAATGACCTGAGGCTAGCAAACCTCAGTTTGTTTTGCAGGAAATTTCACTACATGAAAAAAAATCTAATTTATCGAAACACCATAAAAAGATGTAACACCTGATTTTTAATGAGCACATTACATGCTTCATGCCTTACTTTTAAACATAACCTCTCTTCTTTTTGTGCTGACGTGCCTTTCTTACATATTTCTCAATCTCTGGTTATCTCTCATTCTTTTCTCTCCCTGGGAAATGAAACTGTTGTACCTTTATCTAGCAGACACACTGTGTGGCAAACAGTTTGTGTTAGCTGATATTCACTAAATACTTGCATTTAAAAGTTGCACAACATGTTACTCCCTTTATGCGTCTTTTAGCTAGAGACTGAAGTGCTGTGACCATGAGACTGTCACCTGTTTACCA